AGAGATTCTTTAGTGTCAACTCACTTCCACATCTGTGAATTAAGATGTTTGTCCACCATGACATTAAGTGCACATCGGATATGGTTCCACCGCTTATCAAACACGTAGTAACCTCTTCCGATTTGTCGACTACCAAATGTGCAAAACTGGGAAGGCAAGCAGAACAAGAATAGGATTTTAATTTTACTAATTGCAAGATGTATTTAACCAACCAACAATGCTTTAGCCAATAAAATCAAGTCAAAATAAACATCCAGCTAAAGGATCTTAGATATATGCCACTTCAACTCACACCTCATAGGATTTCTTACGTGTTAAGTCTTTCTCAACCTTGGTCACTTGAAGATATGTAGACTGCAACTAACCCCCAGAATTCCCCAGACAGCATTTCTGGCTGAGGACTTCTGAGAGTTGAAGTCCACATGCCTTCAAGTGGCCACGGTTGAGAAAACACTGTTTTAAAACATTAGCTCTCCAATGAAGACTTTCTTCTATTTTGCCATCATAATAATTTTATTAAAACCCCAGAATAATCTAATGCATATTACATCAATCCTGACCTATTCCAGTATCCGTCATCTGCAGCAAACCTTTTCCTGCATTTCCATCATCTCTAACAAGGCAACTAAAGCAGCTGCTAATAAGACAGCTTTTAAATATAACACCAGAAAGTATTGACTGGAACATACAGCAGCTGCTTGAGGATGATGATCCGAGTAAAGACAATCCAGTTTTTCAACAGGCTCTTCTTTTTCATCACATTCTCCCTCATCACTGGATAACCGAGATGTTGGCTCAGCTGCAGGCAAGGGAGCATGTGGAGATTCATGGAGTGATGGAGACTCACTAGGGGCATTCCCACTGTGCTGGCCAGGACAGCCTGGAGGCCTTCAGACAAGAGGAATCAATGTATAAAGGTAATATTAGAAAACGATTTGCAAGCTTGCACAACATCAGTACTAGGTGCCATAGATTCCTTCATAACATTTTATCTCCTTTGTAAACTTATACGTAAAATAATTGTCATACTGAGGTTTTATGAATACAAAATGAAATTGAAACGCCCAGTGAACAGATACACTATTCCGATGTAAATGTCAGGAGAAAAAAAAGAGATGAAGGCATTAACATAATAACAGAATTGGAAGAGACCCTGGAGGTCTTCTAGTCCAATCCCATCAGCAGGAAATCCTATACCATTCGAGAGAAGTGGCTGTCCAGACTTGTCTTAAAAGTGATGAAGCACCCACAATTTCTGGAGGCAAGCTGTTCCACTGGTTAGTTGATCTCACTGTTAGGAAATTTCTCCTTAGTTCTAGGTTGCTTCTCTCCTTGATTAGTTTCCAGCCATTCTTTGTTATCTCGCTTCCTGGTGCTTTGGGAAATTGCCTACCGAGAACCAGTTTGGTGTAATGGTTAAGGCACCAGGCTAGAAACTGACATAAGAATAAAATCAGCTGAGACCTTGCACCAATCACTCGTTCTCAACTCTATAAAGCAACAATGACAAACCACTTCTAAAGTCATGTCAAGAAAGCTGCAGGGAGATTTGTCCAGGCAGTGACCAGGAGTTTTTAAAAAAACAAAAACCCTGACTTTCAGGCAGTGTAGATCTGGTAGAACTAATAGTAAGATCTGAGCAACAATGGAGCAGTCTACCCATGGGTTTTTCCATTCATTTGGGGGGATTTTAGGCAGGAGATGATTAATTAATTATCCAAAGAGTTGAAATAGGTGATCCTTGTGGTCCTTTCCAACTCTACAATTCTAGGATTCCTAGACTATGGTCATGGTCATGAACTTAATATAACAGTGTTGGCCATTATAGTCACTATGAGACTAACTACTAATAGCATGGTAAGAATAAAACAGCTGTGATGAAAAATCATGGCAGAATAACAATTTCCTCTGAACAATAAAGGTCAGGGATACCTTAATTGTTTTTCCAGTAATTTATTTTACATAGAGCCAATTGTTTATAGTGTAAAAGTAACGGGAGTCTATTTCCATACTCCCATCTCACAAGCATATTCAAGCCAACTGTGAAATTACTTCTGTGTATCATAGAAATATTAAAAGGATCAACTATTACAGACACAACAAAAAGAGCCAGGAAGATCAGAGAAATATTGTATACTTTTACATTCCTCACTATATTTTATTAATCTTTCTTTCAAAAGTTCTAGATGGGGTTTGTAGGTATGCAGCACTTGCTTACAGTTGATTGGCCTGTATCATTATCTCAAAAACATATTATCATTTATCTTTGTTAATTTATTATTGTACAAATTTTAGAAGTGGAGGTAATACCAAGTATTTGGGCAGGTGCCACACAAAAGCATGTAGCAGTGTCACTGACTGAAGAGAATGGATGGTAGAAGTGGCAAACGATTTGTATGGAAATAATTCAGCACATCACTAATTTATTGAATTTGGTCAGGAAAAGACACCCATCCTCACGAGGTACCATCAACACACCACTGGGATGGCATTTTTGTGGGGGAAGTCACAGGACACTCATCCCAACCTGTTCAGGACACTTACCTTGGAAGACTGGGGGTGTGAGGTTTGAGTTTATTAGGTACTAAAGGCTTTGATTCTGTAGGAATAACTCCATGAGAATTTTGGTGCAGCTCCTGGGAAGTCCTTGAAGGTGAGGGATGTGGTTCCCTGAGAAGGGGCATCTGCTGATGATGATCCAAATGGCGGAGTAATTCTTTTTCCCTGGTTTTGCTTTTGTGCTCAGCTAGTAATAAATCAAATCGTTTCCTCCGACCCTGCACAGCTCTTCGCTGAGTTAGGGAATGTGTCTAGAAAGTACAAAATATTAAATTAATTCAGGCTGTAAAAGGATTGTAGAAATTAGGCACAGACATGAGAGATTGAGTGCACAAAAAGGATTAGACTCTTCACCACTAATAAAGAACTAAGGCCCACAATTTATTTATTTATCTGTCCCTCATATCCAACACACCTTCCTCCTCCTTTTCCTATAACCACCACCCTGTGAGGTGAATTAGGCTGCCTCAGCCAGCTTTTATAGCTAAGGCAGGACTAGAATTCATGGTCTCCCTGTTTCTAGCCCAGTGCCTTAATCACTAGGCCAAATTGGCTCTCTCAAATGGATGGATGTCTTTATTTTAGGAAAATAAAGCCCATGGCATATCAGGGAATCTTAAGGAATGTCTTTCATTTGTCCCCCCTGTAGCAATGTTGTAGGATAATGATCGGCCCAAAGTCAGTGTATTTTTAAAACTGAGAATGGACTTGAATTTAAATCCTCCTGTTGTAGTCCAATGCCTTTATAATCACTACTTCACATTACCTCTGACTAAGTAAACAACCTAGCTATTTTATAGTACTATTCAGAACCAAGAATATGTATCTTTATACAGCATAATTTTTAGAAGGTCATCTAAATCAGCGGTCACCAACCGGTAGGCGAGAACATTTTGGTGGGCCGCAGAGAAATCTTACCCCCAGAGCACCCCCACAAAGCAATTAATCCAGGCTGCGCAGAAACACAAGGCTGCGCCACCCACATGGCTTGCGGGAACCCTCAGCCCACTCACTCCTTACCCGGTAAACTTGCTTGCTAAATTGCTATTTTTTCCTATTTCCGACCATCAGCTGTGCCAGGAGATTTAGATTAGGTAGGAAGCAGGAAATGGTTGGATTTCTTGCTTTCTAGCTAGTCTTTAGATCTTCAGCTCAGCACAGCCGAACCTCCCTTAGGACTGAAGGTTTGCTTGCAAGCAAATTAAGTGCAGACTCACGGCAAGCAAATTTGAGAGACTGAGCTAGCCGATGGCAGATAGATAGATCACTGAATGATTCTGTGAGCAACTCAATCTGCCTGCTTTGCCTGATTTTGGGTAAAAGTTGCTCTTTTTTTAAATAAAAAATTCAATATTTACATGCATGTTGTGCTGTGAGTTAATTTTGTGAGTTTGCTTGCAAGCAAGTTTTATGTGACAGACTGAGCTAGCCAATGGCAGATAGATAGGTCTCTGAATGAATCTGTGATTCTGTGAGCAACTCAATCTGCCTGCTTTGCCTGATTTTGGATAAAAGTTGCTCTTTTTTATTAAAAAATTCAATATTTATATAAATATTTATAATATTTACATACAAGCCATGCCCAGCCAGTCACATGACCACAAAGCCACACCCATAAATTAGGCCACGCCCACAGAACCGATTAGTGGTCCCTGGGATCTAAAATTATGAGTTTGGTGGTCCCTGAGGTCAAAAGATTGGTGACCCCTGATCTAGATCAACTTTGAATTTGGGGTGAATGCTAAAAAGGAAAAAAAATATGGAAGAAAAAGATAGGAAATATCTATTATATATAGCAGACCTCTGGGCTACTGTAATAGATCTAAGTCTGTCTTGCCCGACTTTCTTATGAAAATATTATAGCATTTAAAAATAGCATTAAATTAATAAACTATAATCATACTGGGTTTCTTATTTCATGATAAATCAAATTCTTTACATGTGGCAGTTATATTCAGTATAAGAGTGTTCAAAGAGCTCACATCTGCTCGTGTCCCCATATATCTGCAGTGACTACACAGTTTCTAAATTTAGAACCTGATCAAGCAGAAATATTGTAATGGTATGCATTTTTTTTCTTTTTTGTGCCTTTGAGGCAGTGTTAATGCCTGGCAACTGCCTGGACAAATCCCTGCAGTTTTCTTACTTATCAGAAACAGTTTGGCATTGCTTCCTTCCCAATGAGAGAGTGGGAGAATGGCCGAAGGTCACCCAGCTGGCTTTGTGCCTAAGGCATGACTAGAAGTCTCCAGGTTTCTAGCCTGCTGCTTTAACCACTACCTCAAACTGGCTCTCTAATAGCACGTGTTAAACATAATTAATTCTAAGAAACAGATATTGTGACTGGTTAGGGAATTCTGGGAGTTGAAGTCCATCCATCTTAAATTTGCCAAGGTTCAGAAACACTGTTCTATATTATTTAAATTGAACATTTGTCCATATAATTAATGGGTGTTGTGATTTACGAATTTCTTTTAGCATACATAATAATTATGAGGTAGTACATGTGGAATATCTAGTTCTACTTATAATTTCAAACGAAGAAAAGTAAAAAAAAATTTCAATATAAAGAATGAAGTACTGATCTAGCAATGGATGGGAGAAGTATGAATGAACTTCAGACCAATTCTCACATGTATTTTTCACTGGTATCACTCCAAGCACCTTTTTTCTATGTTTTGTGTTATTTTATGAATTTATTTTTATGAGAATTCTCTGTATACATGCCCCATATAAATTCTTTTTGTTGTCCTTGATAAATGTTTGGTTTCAGTTTTAAAAAACATAATGTCGGAAACAGAAACTTGTGAAACTGGCCATAACTTTTTACAATATGCTAAGCAATCTTACAGAAACATCTGCATTATTCAAATGTATTTTCACAAGGATGTTACGTTTTTAAAAGTACTCAGTCAGACTACTGTATACTGAAGTTTCTCAGGTTGTTTTTGTAGATTGTTCAAATACCCTAAATTACTTTGGAGGTCCAATATAGGCATCTTACCTTGCATGTTAATGACCTGGTACAGGGTTTCTTGGTTTCTGTGTCAATGACTCCGCAGTAGATATCAGGATCAAATTCTCTCTCTATTAAAGGCAAGGTAAAAGTGTCATATTTGGATCATATTGGTTTGTGCTACTGTATAATTAAACCCCAAATTGCTTTCAATTTTCATATATGTTACCATGTAGCTATCAATAACATTGGATTTTTTTGGAAAACCCAATTAAGTCTTTAACAGGATTCAAGAAGATAAAAAGTGCATGTAAGACTCTCAGTTAGCAGATATTTTTCTTAGAAAAAAAGAGAGTAAAAATAGCAATTAATTGAGATTTGGCATTTGTAAAGGTTGCATCATATTGCAACAGTGCTACTGTTGTCACAAAAATATTATAAGTTCAGCTAAGCATGTAAGAATGTTTTTAAATATTGCAGTGCTGCACAGAATATCCATGAGTTAATATACCTTTTTACAGGTACATATACCAAATGTTACTGGTTAAGATGGGGGTTAATCATTATAATTCCAAAAATATTGAAGATGAATTCAGTAGGACAATATCTGAAAATATACTGTGCTTTTCTGTGCAGTTTTGCTATTTGCTATTAGAAATATACTGCCCCTATTATATAGGAGACTAAATAGCATTGCAGAATTCATGGACAGATCTGTTGAAAATTTCAAGAGAGCTGCCCCTTGAGACATAAAATCAACTCAAAGCCCATATCGTAAAATTCAGAGAATCCACGGGTGCTTCTTTTTACCTTAACTACCAATATTAATGCTTTACCTTTTGCATAATTATCATGATTAAATACACACTTTATACTATTGGCCAGGATCCTTTAAGTGTGAGCACAGAATATGTATGGCTGATTTTTCTTTTCAAAAGTGTGTCAACAGCTATCAGAAGGATTCACAATGGGGAAGGAGCAGCTATTAGAAAAGATGAGATGAACAGCACGCATGCAGATCGCTTCACATGCCACTCTGGATTCCGGTTATTCAAAGACGATAATGATTAACTTTTCCACACCGTTTCTAGAGTTCAGGATAACTTCAGAAACATACATTTTACTTTTACCTTTATTATAAAAATGCACATGCCTTTTTTATTTTAATATTCTACATTTGATGTTCATTGTAAGAATTACCTGACAGTCTTTTGTGTAAAAATTTCCTATTATTTGTACTCTCGTCTTGTTTCTTTTCTGTATATGGAGGCACAGAGAGAAGACTTTTACCATTCAGTATCTGTCCAGGGGAAGGCAAGGGTGGCTTTGGTATTGAGGGATTAAGGCCAGTCTTTATTGAAGAGCTCACAGTAGTAGAACAGGTTGGACCAACAGCAGGCTTCAGTAATGCACCATCTAACTTTGGATGTATTTTTTCCACTTTGACAGATGGAGTCATGCTAGTGAAGCGGAAATATAAGACAAAGCCATATGTAATTGTTGCACAGTAAAGCCTCTCTTATTTAGACATGATTTAATGTTCAGTACATCCCAGGTTCATCCCAATTTCTCATTTAAACACAAGATGTCACTGCAGAAACAACATGGGTCTGGGATATGGAGGGATTTTAAGAAATAAGGCAGGGCACAGTGGCCTCCAAAGATTCTGCTATCTTCTGTTCAAAACGAACACATAAATAACACAATTTCTAAATGCTTATCTTTCTATGTAACCCAGAGCAAGTCAGAGCAATCTGACATTATTCAAGGGAATGTCCTTCCATATCCTTCTTCTTCCTCTAGAGAAATTCTGGGTAATTGACTGTCTGAGAAAGGCCGCATGTGTATAAAGAGAAAACCTTGCCATATGGTATTGGCTAGGCTCAGGACAGAAGACAGAAAGATACATTATGTATCTGGAGAGGTTTTCCTTTTTCATTACCATAGAAAAGACTTTCAGAAACACTGGCATTTCATTTTCTGTTTTCTGGAAGTGGGAATGTATCATGACAGACTGTCTCCGAATTGACAAGAAGTTATTTCTGGAGCACTGGATCTGAGTCAAAAAGCAAGCTGGCCTGATCACTGCGCAGCTCTGGTTAATTATGTCACTTTCAACCTTATAAACAACAATTCCACCCTCAATCCAGATCTACAATTTGTTACCTGATCTTATTTTTTCTTAGATTTGCCCACTATATTCTGGATCGCAGACCAATGGTGCAGACCTACTATTTGAGGAACAAATCCCTCTCTTTCTTCCTCCTCCTATGTGATTTTTCCTTTCCTTTCTTTCTCAGCATTAATCATGCTGTTATGTTCTGTCTGCACTGATTTTAGGGTTAGCCACGACTTCATTTAAAAACGACTTGCAAATTCAGTGTCTGCCTTGGTTTAATAGTTCCAATTAATTCTTAAAGCATGTGTACAGCTAGCAATACAATGTTACTGATCAAGGGGAAAAAGAGGAAGAATCATACAGAAGAGAGTTTCATGGCATTTCTCCCAAAGCCTAATTTACGGTTGGAAAATAACCAAGGACCAAAATAAAACACTGTATTTAAAAATGGACACGGCCCAGTTAGACACAGAGTACTTGTCTCAGTGCTAAACTTTTCTATTTTCAGAACCGAGGCAGGTAGAAATCAATAAATAACTCACATTTTGTCATGGAGACCTTTGCTATGCATTGGATGCATTGGCCTATTGTTTCCACCAATTGGCAGCTTGTCTTTGGGTGATTTCAATAATTTTGAACTGGATGAGGACGATGTACTTGCCCCTCCACCACTGGATGAGCGATTGCTCCCTCCTCCGCTGCTACCTTTACTTTTTGAAGACAGAGATGAATACAAGGAGAATACTGAAGAGGAAGGAGGTGTCAGAGGTGGTTTGCTGGAGGAGCTGTGTCTTCTTTCTGGGACAAAAAAACAAAAAACAACAGCAAAAAGAGACACGTTAATGATCACACAATACACTGTGATAATTTCCTCCAAATTATTTCCTATTTCAATGTTCTTGGAGTTAAAACCTTGCTTTAGAGAGGTCTCCAGGATCAACTCCTATTAAATATTTACAGTGTACCATCGTGCCTGCTTCGTTTTACGCATTCCGGTTACACAAGTCCTTATTGCAAGGGCCTTCTGCATCAAGACTATGCAATCCACCTCTTTCTGTGGTGGATCCTGGCTTTAAAATATTTTCATAACAGGATACCTTAAAAGTGAATTTGGGTTATAACAACAGACTGGGGAGGTTATACAAATTAGAACACCTAGGTATAAAATGCATGTGAATTTATATTAGAAAGTTTATACGCTGGATAATTATTTTAAATTTAGTCTGCAGCTATTTGAGCCTACAACCATAGGTTAATGTATTGAAGAGATACCTAGGTAGGTTATAATTTCAATAATTATTCTGCTACAAATATTTATCTTAATTCCATTATGAAAGTAATAGTGGGTAAGAAGAAATTATTTGAAAGTACAAGCAGATAGTTTCATGTTAGTTATTTTGGACTACAACTATCATAATCCCCTGAATTTTTGGGCTAGTCAAGTACATTATCTATCTATTGCTGCTGAGAAGGACTCAATGTGAATTTAATATACCAAATCTGGCTGACTGTATGATGAATCATAATAATAATAGTAACAGACAGCAAATGCCACCTCTGCAAAGAAGCTGAAGAAACAATGGATCACCTGGATAGCTGCTGCAAGAAGATCACAGAGACTGACTACAAACAACAGCATGACAAAGTAGCAACAATGGTGCATTGAAGATCTGCAAGAAATACCCTTTGTCTACAAGCAAGAACTGGTGGGACCATAAAATAGAGGAAATAACAGAAAATAAAGAAGCCAAAATGCTCTGGGAATTTAGAATTCAAACAGATAGGCACCTGACCCATAACATCCCAGACTTTACAACTCTTGATAACAAAAACAAAAAAGGTTGGATTGTGGACGTGGCACTGTTGTGGGACTATCCAGAGACAGCAGAATAGAAGAGAAAGAATTGGAGAAGATAACAAAATACAAAGATATGCAAAGAAATAGAATGACTGGGGCAAAAGAAAGCAAAGGTAGTACTGCTAATAATAGGCACCTTGGGTGCAATCCAAGGGTAGGATTCTACTGATTCGGCCCCGTTTGGGAGAACCGGTAGCTCTGAGGATCAACTGTGAGTGAACTGGTTCACTCTGACAATCAGCTGTTGGGCCCACCTGCCTGCCTGTCTAGTCTATGCTTTATATCCTGGTTTCTAAGCTCAGCAGATTTCTGCGCACCAGCTGTTTAACACACAGAGATTGCTGGAGAAGGTCAGTAGCAAATGCTCTGCACCCGTGCAAAGTACATGTTCAACGAACTAGTTGTTACACTGGTTGAATCGCACTCCTGGTGCAATCACAAAACAACTGGAACACCATTTGAACACCACTGGCATTGACAAATTCACCATCAGTCAATTGCAAAAGGCAGCTTTACTCGGAACAGCTTACATCCTGCAATGATCCTTCTGTCGTGGCCTGTTGGCTGCTGATCCCTCCAGCAGCCGAATCAGATGAGGAGGCCATGTGGGAGTAAGGGCCAGCATCAAGGCAATCTGAGAGCTCCGTGGGGGAAGAGAGAATGGAGCTGTCAGAGATAGAGATGGAGATGGGGCCTGGGCCATCCATCAACCCTCAGATGGAGTGTCAACATCCCCCAGGTCTGGAGGTGGCTGATGAGGAAGAGGAGGAATAGCTGGGGTCCAGTGCCTGATGCATGGATGCCGAGAAGGCAAAAAGGAGAGGAGAGCAGTGGAAATCTATGGGCCGATCCTTGGGAAGAGCCGTTGTTGCTAACAAAGCACCACTCTAGCTCTGGGGATAAAAGGCAGGGCACAGAGATGAATAGGTATGGCAGATACTATTCATCTCCCTACCAAACAGACTTGTCAGCCTGCTGTGTGTGTGTGTGTGTGTGTGTGTGTGTGTGAGAGAGAGAGAGAGAGAGAGAGAGAGAGAGAGAGGGAGGGAGGGAGGGAGGGAGGGAGGGAGAAAGGGAGAACATTAATATCTGCCTATCCCAGGTCCTTGGAAGGACTCGATAGGTGGCTAAAAATACCAAATCCATCCCGAATATTTGGCTGACTGTGAGACAAACCACAATTACTACCATTATCATTAAATTGATAGCTAGCAAAATTCATTCACACAACTTCACAGTTTTAATACTGAGATATTAAAAGATATTACAATTTAGAGAAACAAACCATGCTTTTCGATTAAAACCTTGCTTTCTGAATAACTGTTCCCAATTTTTCTCCTAGTAAAAGTGATATACATTTTTATTAAATCCCCTGGGATTTGGCTATCAATGTCCAATATAAATAACACCTATTTGGTGTACCATTATTCCTAGAAGGTGGCATATAGGTGACAATATGCTGATTTACAAGACAGTTTATAGATTAGTGATACAAATCTGTATAGAGTAGCAAAAACAAAGCCAGACAAGGAATAATGGATGAAAAACTGAACAAGGAGAGATTTAACCTGGAAATAAGGAGAAACTTTCTGACAGTGAGAACAATCAACCAATGGAACAGCTTGTCCTCGGAAGTTGTGGGAGTGTCATCATTTGAGACTTTCAAGAGATTGGACTGCCATTTGTCAGAAATGGTGTAGGGTCTCCTGCTTGGGTGGGGGGTTGGACTAGATGACCTACAAGGTCCCTTCCAACTCTGATTATCTGTTATCTGTTACTAACTTAGTAAAAAGTGTCCAAAGATAACCATGATTGACAAAACTAAGACCGGCAGTTAGAGTCAATCCCTATTAAATCATGTAAGATCACTGTGCACAGATTTCAAATATAAGAATAAATGTAAGGAATATGAAATGAATATTTTTACAAGGATAAAAAGATGAGGGGGGTTTAATGAATGATGTTGGAATGAACTGGATTAAGTTTTATGATTCAGTTTTTTTCTCCTATCTAATTTCTTCCATTTACTATTTCTTACTCCCTTTCTGCAAACTATGTAACATTATCTACTCCAAGAGGAAATAGTATATGATAATTCCAGGGTTGGGGTGTATTATACCCATTGATATTCCAACTTTTTTTGGTAACTATTATAAAGAGCTCCCTTCTTAAGTAAGTATCCAGTAAGATAATTACTGTATTTACAAAAGTATGAGTTATGCAATATATTTGGATTGTATATTCTAAATTCTTTCCTTCTACAAAGGATTAAAAACTAAGGTATAAAATGTCCTTTTTTAACAATGGTATTTGCTAAGATATAATTGGAGGCTCTTAAAAATTCTGTGCTACTTGATATAGCTAATGTTAATGTTAGTCATGGCAAATCCTTTATATAAAACGGAAAAAAATGCTGGTTATTTTCACCTTCTTAACCACTGTATACTTGGCAAATCCTAAGTCCTAATACATGACAGTTGAAAATAGTACCTGATTCACTGGCAAGTTACTATCATTTTGTATTTTATCATTTTTAAAATGACTTTTTCCTCTACATAGATGAAGTATTGGTTGAGATATTACTAAATGCCAACATTTTCACTGCAAATAATTCTTATGAAAAATAACCTTTTGACTGGCACAAATGTCAATAGTTGTCTTTATTCCTGGATGAGTCAACCTGAGTTCTGAACGATCCTGATAGTGAATTCTCCAGTGACAATATTGCTATGTTCACAATCAATCTACGTAGGTTAATGAAATTCTACTGTACTGAAGAAACCAAAACACTTATTTTAGAATTTAGATGTATATTGTAACTGGTAATGGCTCCAGATGTTTCAAGGTGTTTCAAGAGAATAAGCTCGGTTCAGTTTGAAGAAAGAAAAAACAACAACTCCTTGCTTATAGAACTCGGCATCACACCCAAAGTCAAATGACAGTGCTCTTCTAACTATAGGTAGCTCTACCCATAAACCAAAACAAATTAGAAGACCACTATGGCTACTGCTCTCCAGAATAATAGCAATAGCACTTAGACTTATATACTGCTTCATAATGCTTTACAGCCCTCTCTAAGCAGTTTTTACAGAGTCAGCGTATTGCCCCCAACAATCTTGGTCCTCATTTTACCCACCTCGGAAAAATGGAAGGCTGTATTAACCTTGAGCCTGGTGGGATTGGGACTGCTAAACTGCAGGCAGCCGATAGCCAGCAGAAGTGGCCTGCAGTACAGCACTCTAACCACTGCGCCACAAGGCTCTTAAATAAATGACACAGGGAAAAGATGTGCAGGATAAGAAGTTGGGGAAGGGGGAACTTCCGGTTTGAAGGTCTTCGGCAGCGGCCGTAGAGGTGACTGAAGATAGTGGAGACCCGGCAGGGGTTGAGGGGAATCGCACCTCCCCTCCTCAGCTGGCTTAACTCCCTTTTCTGAAAGCGGTAAGAGCGGCGGTCAGAAATGGCCGCCACAAAGAAGCACTCATCCGGAAAAGTATGTGCAGGAGGAAGCTGAGAAGTGAAAGTTTCGGCTGACCGGGATGATAAGCAATATTTAAGATATCCTGGAATTTAAATTTTGGAAAAGGATACATAGTTCCCAAAGAAGATCTGGAAGCAGCGAACGAAAGTGAAAAGGGAAAGCTTGCTTTTTCTCACTCTCCTTCCTTACAGTGACAGCAGATGAATGAGAAATTGGAAAAACCCGCTTTGGCATCAGCAGGTAATTAAACTGGAAAATTAAAGCCAAGGGGACAATAAAGATTTCTGAACACTGAAAAAACCTTTTTTTTGCTGTAAGCGGGAAGGGAGAGGAAAAGAATTAAGACTAAGATTTGACTGGAGGAGACTGCTTGGAATTTAAAAGACTAGAGCTAAATTGTAACAAGACTTCTAAAAGATACATTTTAATTGGAACTTTGTAACTGAATTGTAACCCCAG